AGTAGTATTTTGTCCCTGTGTTTGTTCCTTCATCAGGAATAGTACCTGGACTGGACCACAAGCTGTTACTTCAATTTTTTTCAATGTACAATTTAAAAGTAAAATTAAATGACTGGCAGTATGCAGGCTCACCTTCTGTAGTGGACACAGTAGTACTGGATCCTGAGTAAACAAGAAAGTGATGCATTAATAGAAAGCCTCACTTTGCTTGAATTTTTTTAACATGTATGCAGTAATATTTTCTCTCTTGCCAACAAATCTCATGTGTTGTCAAATATTTACCACACCCTTGCACTGGTGGACATTCGGTACCATAAATACATACTATGGTTGGTTTTGACTCAGTCCTACATAGTGGTTCTTTTATAGCTTGTTCTGCTCCTCCCAATTCCAATTACATTCAAAGACCAAGTTTTTCTAATGTTCCTTTTTTTTAAAATACTGAAATGACTGTCTTAAGTTAGCGAAGATATTTACAGCAAATGAAGTGTGTGGACTCACCTCCGCTGGTGGTATCAGTAGGACTGACTCCTGAGAAGACAAGATAATGAAATATAAATGAAAGGCCTCACTTACCTCTTTTTTCTTTTTTTCTTTTTTTTAATTATGCTTTAAATGGAACATGTCATCATTTTAGGAAATACCATTTTTCACTTTGTCATATTCAGTTATGCAGATGATGAAGCTGCGTGTCTCTTGAATCTCGTACTTTGTCGTCTGTGGTGTTTGGAATTTATGGCCAAATTTCTTCAGGTATTACAGTAGTACATTTGCCACGTTTTAAGAAGCATTGCATCTCCATCTGTTTTTTCTGCCTGGCATGCAGTAACCACAGACTCTATCTTCTGTGGGTAGCAACAACTTCTTTCGTCTGTCTCTGCTTTGTATCTCTTACAATCAAGAGGTATTCTGCCCATATATATTCATGGTTTTGGGCCAGATAGCAGGTTGTTTCTGGTTAGGGAGCAGTGCTGGTGTTTGATCAGTGTTGGGTAATCAGTAATTCTCAGTATCATCTGAGACAGTTTTTAGGTTTGTCATGCCTGGACTGTCAGTGTGTCTTGGGGGCTCAATGTGAGACGTAACTAACAATCAGATGTTCTTTTTTTAATGTGAAGAATCAATGTGTAATTCTGTGAAGCACGCATTGCTAAGTGTTTTTCTTTGGATTTTCACTATGGGCCTGTAAAATTCTTACTGGGATGTTTGTTCCATCTAGCATAGGCTTGGTAATTGTGTGTTGGATTAAACTGTGAAATATTTTTGCTCCAATTCTGATTGGTGTGTCAATTCTGTAAAATTTTCTTCTTGCTTGTTTCAGTTTTTCTCTTCCTCTGGCCAAACAGAACAGCATTCTCACTGTGTTCTGGGAACTCGTGGTTAAAAATAAAGCTCTGCTCATGCAGTGTTTTTTGAAAAAAACATGTCAACACTCATTTATCAAGTTTCAGCACCTATTAATGCCTGTAGTTCACAAACAACTGCATCACCAAAACTCTGATTTAGCAACTACAGATGCTTTTGATTGTCATAATGATCCAAATACCTTTTAGCAAACCTCTGAAAGAATACATGTGGTGATTTAAAGTATACTCAAATGACTGCCAGTCTGCAGACTCACCTTCTGTAGTGGACACAGTCGTGCTGGATCCTGAGAAGATGAGATAGTGATGCGTGAATAGAAGGCCTCACTTTACACTCTGTTTTTTAGTCAAAACAGCTTTATGATGTACTTAACTTGCAGTACTGGGTCTAAAATTTTATTAATAAGAACCTCTTAAAGAATACATTTGGTGATATTTTATCTCTTGTCAACGAATCCCATATACAGTCAATAATGAACCACACTGACACAGTCGTTCTGCTCCTCCCAACTCCACTTATAAACAAAGACAGAGTTTTACCTTGATTAGGAATAGTTCCTGCACTGGGCACCAAGCCATCTAAAATAGAGGAATATTTAAAAATGTTCATTCAGATTTTTTTCCCCCAAAAATCAAAAAATATGTACTTAAATGACTGCTAGTGTCATAAAGAGTGAAGACATTTGCATGAAGTGTGTAGATTCACCTCCTCTAGTGGGAACAGTGGTACTGAGTCCTGAGAAGATAAGACAGTGACGCATTAACAGAAAGCCTCATTTCAGTGTCCGTTTTTTTATTTGTGTTTTTGAAAGCTGATTAAGCTGCTAGTGGCAGCATCATGTTTACTGTGCATACATAGGAGTGGTTTCCATGTGGACATCTAACCCAGCCAGACAACGCTGAGGTGTATTTACAAACTGTTCTTTTTATTTTCAGCATAACTGCAGCTCATCTCCTGCTTCTCTGCTTACACTTCCATAGATACACTGATGCCAGTTACAATACTTTGCACATGTAATGTGCACATTTAAAATGTACTAATATTCGAATATTATGTATAGCTTAGCATGAGCTTTAAGGGATAATTTGAGTTAACGAAAGAAAGGCTTATCCTGTTTTCAGGATTTATCTTTTTATTTCCCTTTGGAAGTTTTTCCAGGTTACAGGGAGAATATTTTATTCTGAGCTAAAATGATAAGGTAAAATCACAGACATGTTTTTCAAGTTTAATCCAAAATGAAGAATTTTCCACTTTTTTTTTCTTCATATGAAGAACCCAAAAGACATTTTTTGCATCTATATTGACTACAGATAAAGACTGCATCACCCTAAATGTATGAAGATTGTTCTAAAAATGAGCTGTCAACAGCAGAACTACTTTTTGACCTATGGACTATCTGCATGTCTACATCATGGCTCCACATGGAAAAGAATTACCAGACAAACATACAAATCTGACTGTGAGACTTTACAAAGATTTAAAAAATAAAATAAAATACAGGAAGATTAGCAACCAACTGAAACTCAGCTGAAACACAATTACAGCAGTAAGCAGAAAGTCTAGAATGAACCGTAGTGCCACTAATCACAGCTGCAGTGGTCGTTTAACTCATAATTAGAAGATGTAAGAAAGTACATAACAAGTACTAAATGGACCTTTAAGAAACTGGTCAAAAATCATCATCTTACCTTTTACTGTCACTGTTCCAGTAGCCAGAAGCAGCAGGAGCGTGATCCTCAGGCCAAACGTCATGGTGGCTATAGATTTCACCTTCTCTCTGAGAACAAAATAAAATCAGCAGATGTGACCTTAAGTTCATACACAGGTCTTCTGAGAAGTAATAGTCCGACTCCAATGTTTTAAAGGTCAGACTGGGTGTGTCAGACCTAAATATGGTTGTTACAAAAGATATATTGCAACAAATGTTCCTAATAACAGATTATTCAAAAACAAACAGACATTGCAGAACAAATAGTGGTTGAAACTATTCAAATCACACACTAATCCTTTGTTGTGTAACATTAAAAGAATGAAGAGCCTCCCTATGTTTACCTAACACCATTTGTTTACTACACCACCTACTGTGACAATTCCTCATAAGTCTGCATTAATCCTTATTTCCTTTTTGTCTTGTTTTGGAAAGATCTGCTTTCGAAACCATCAAGCGCAATCAGTGAATGTAGGATATGACCAAGTGGCTTGTTACTCGTGATGTGTTGTGATGGGACGGTTGTTTTTTTGGTTACTTCAAACACATTATAGTTAGCTATGGTGGTTCAAAATGCAATTAGTTTTAGATAAAGAATGTAAAATTGTGATGTGTCTACATTTTTGTGGTCTGTTTTTTATCCCCATTAGTCTACATCCACATTATGTAACTTGTGGGTGTGATGCCTCGTGACTCACAAGTTTGTTTGACCGTGCAATAAAAAAACGAATAAAAAAGCAACCACTTTGTTAAGCTTTGGGACCGAAACTACTTGGTAAGATTTAGTAGAAGATCATGGTTATACCAATTTGAATGCTTTTCAGTCACTGTTTTACATTGCTATTTTCAGTCACTCCATCCATCCATCCATCTTCTCCCGCTTTTCCGGAGTCGGGTCGCGGAGGCAGCAGCCTTAGCAAAGCCACTCAGACTTCCCGATCCGCACACACCTCCCCCAGCTCTTCCGGGGGGACCCCTAGGCGTGGTGAGGGTAAATGCTACAAAACTACTTAGTTAAACTTTGCCACCAAAACCAGCTTAGAAAACAGATCATAGTTTGGGTTTAAACACACCCATGCATTTTTTCTGACTGTTTCCTGTTGTTTTTTGTCATATGTTTGCTTTAGTTTATGCTGCAAAGCTACTTTGATAATAGTCACTGAGGAAATATGTTACCGCTGCAAACTTGTTCTGTGGGCATCATGTTGCCACAGAAACCTACTTGCATTCAGTTCGTGATGCAGAAATCACAAATATGTTTCATGTTTGGGCCTGATTTGCTGCCACTGATTGTGTTGCAGCTAGTAGAACCCAGATTAGAAAATATATTGTTCTATTGGTGTTTATTACAGAGAACATTCATTTAATTTTGTTTTGGCCAAAAGCTAAAGTGATTTCCTTATTTATGGAACAGTGTCAGACCTGAATGAATTTCTTTAATATCATGTTTAAATGTATGAAATTTAAAGTTAAGAAGCTCTAATGTGTGGCTGTTAGTTAGAAAAAAGTGGCTGCTTTGATTGGTAAAATGAATATATTTACACATGGTTAACACTTTTCTACCAGCGTTCCTTTCTTGCATCCTTTGCAATCGCAGCAAATCTTCGGCTTTGCTGTGTGCTTTTGTTTGCACTACAAAACGACCTTATGTTTCAGCAGTGGTACAGTGGTTATAGCACTGTTGCCTAACAGCTACATGGTCTTGGATTTAAATCTCCAGATCGGCTGTGTGAAGTTTGCATGTTCTCTTGGTTCCAGGTGGTTTTTCTCTTGGTGTTCTAGTTTCCTCTCAAACACAGAGTGTCTCTCTGTTGACCATGTGAGATGCATTTTAACACACATAAAATCGATGGATAATCTAATTTAACTTAACCTTCTAAGACTTATGTACCACTAAACCGATTAAAACACATTAATCGAAGCCTTCAGCCAAATTCAATCAGTGGCAGTTCCACAGTTGAGGAACCGCATGTCTCTGTGTCCACATCATTACATTGGTGTAAGATCTGGAGGGGAAAAAAACTGCTGATGTTACTGAAGAACTTAAAGCTTGAAGTTTATTCACAGCGTTTAGAAGATATTGCGATCATACTTTTGATGTGAATAAATACACATTACAGGAAGACGGATGGTCTTGACACAAAGCTTGATGCATAATATGACAAGACGACCTGGTAGCAGCTCCAGTGTTTTGTTCCATCAGTGCTGAATGGAAATCATTGTAACAGGGGAACGTTATGTCCTTGAGCATATGAAAAGCAACTGCAGATAAGACTTCAATGCTTTTTGAGCCACACAGCTTATTTTAGAGGTTTACTGATTTTTGATTCACTGTTTTTTTTTTTTTTGCTATTTTACATCATTGTTGATTTTGTTGTCCTTGTGACTGTTTTATGTCTTTTTTCCACTTTGAAGCTCTTTGTGCTTGTTTTGTGTATCCTTCGGTCAGTTTTACATCTCTCTGCTGTTGTTCTTGTCTGTCTGTGTTTCTGTGTATTTTTGTTGCCACTTTGAATCCCTTGTTTGCTTTCTGTATCTTTTAGTCATTGTGCATCTCTGTACTTGTTTTCCTTATCTTTGTATTCATTTTGTGTCTCTTTGTTGTCATTTTGCATCTTATTGTGCTTGTTTTGCATATATTTATGTGATTTTACGTCTGTAGTTTTCTGTCTTTTTGTTGTCACTTGTTTTTTTTGTTGTTTTGTTTTGACACTTGTTTTTACGATATACGGTCCAAATTTCAAATAAACCCTGATTGTAAAAAAGTAATAAAAAACCTGGATAAGTGGTTCACATGACTGAGCAATGCAAAACAAAGACACAGTTATTCCTTGTATTCTGTCTTTTACAGCAATTTAGTATAGACGCCGAGGGAAAATCCATGATCTGATGTCTTGTGAATAAGACGTTGTCAGATGATACTTCTGGTCAGTCAATTGATATTTTGTGCAGAATTTTTGGGGTGTTCTTTTTCCCAAATGTCCATGCCTGTTTTCTGGAAATTTAGGAAACTGTCATGCCATGATGAAAACTTACACAACTGGTGTATCTTTGTCCATCTCTGACTTTCTTTTTGTAAATGGTATTTGTGAAAATGAAGTGATTTTGAAGGTAATTTTGCAACCCACTTGGAGATGTTGGAGAAGTACATCAAATAGTCTGCAATTATGAGTGAGTTAAAAACAGAAAATAAAAATGATGCTGTCACGTTAAGTCCCGTCTTTGAACACATTAACAAAAGATTTGGTCTTACAAAAGTCAGTTAGTGATATCTTCTGAATCACATGCAGCTGCATGTCACAAGAATACAAAACAAAACACATAGAATACTGTTTAGTTTAAAATACTTGGTCATAAAATCTATATATTTTCATTGACTTATCCTAACTGATTGAACATGTTTGACAAGATGTGCCACAAAAATATTGGTAGATGCTCTAATCCAAACAACGTTCTGGCGTTTCAGAAATACTGGTCAAAATCTTCAGAAAATATCACAGCTTTTGTTGTTGTTGTTGTCGTTTTAACCTGATGATTCTCTTTAATTTGAAAATTAGGAATGTTTAAGAGGTTTTTCCTCTGCCCTCACAGCTGTAGACTCAACAAAATGTACTGGGATAAAAAAAATAAATAAATAAAACACACACACACACACACACACACACACACACACACACACACACACACACACACAAATACTGCGATCATGTTTCTTGCCTCTGCGGTTAAAATCTGAGCTATTTTGGCGAGTTTGTGACGCGATCTTTTAAGGGCGGAACCATGGACACATTTATCCACTGCAGGACCTCGATCCGGACTCATTAACGCGGAGCACATTGCGACTCGGAAGCTGTTGCGTTGGAAGCAGAAGGATGTGGCTGCTGACAGTGCTGGTGCCTCTTCTCAGACTGTATTTATGCGGAATGAAAGTCCTCGTCTATCAAATGTTCAACCGGTCCTTCAGTCTTCCAGGTCAGCTCAACTTACATTTCACAAATCTTTTTCACTGTCTGCTCATTTGTGGTTTTAAAAATGCTTATTTTCCAATGACAGATATGTGCCGTTCGTACGCCGGGCTCCGTCGGAAAAATGCCGTTTTCGTAAATTTCATCTTATTTATCAGCAGAAGTAATAGTTAATAAAAATAGTTGCTCCATATGTTTTAACATCTGAGGCTTCTTATCAGTTCGGCATATATCTGACATATCGAGCATTTAAAGTTTAAAATTTAAACAGCAATTTATTCGATTTGATCCTTACTATGTTACATCCCAAAAAACGCCAAATAACAGAGACAAATCTAAAGAATGTGAACGTATTTGAAAGACCAGCTGTTAGGTTGACAGCATGTATGCAAAATTACATAAAAGTCAGTATAACAGTGTTTTCAAAGGGTTGCAGTCTATGAAAACAACGTAAAATTAGGAGTATTCTTAACGAAGTTTGGTGACTCTGCCTGCTTGGCGCACCTTAAGGCTGGCAGGTAATGCTATATAGCTAATGTATCACTGACACTCAAAGGCTGTTGAATTTTACATCAAAAAATGCAGATTATTTAATTCAAATTAAGTTTTTACAAAAAACATTATTCATTTAACAACATGTTTCCAGTTAATTATAACTATTATTTCTTTTTAGACTGTCGTTTACAAGGTCCTATAAGCCTATATTATTATTATTGTTATTATTATTATTATTATAAAACCAACATTATATATTTCTCATAGTTACTCAGACGTCTGTGCGTGTCTGCCCACACAAACCAAGAGCTGTTGCTCTTTGACCTCAGCTGTAGGCTGCAAATGTTTATGAAATTTGAATTACAACTTTGAAACTTACCAGGAACAAGGCTTCATACACTATATCCACCGATTTCACGTGCATTTTGTGGTAATAATCCATCATACATTAAGTGAAAAAATGATTTTACTCTGGTATATAGACAATGCAGTATTGTAGTAATCTTAACGTAGACTTAGTGAGGATAAAAATACCATTGTGACCCCTAACAAGCTGGAACATTCCGAGAAAATTCAGTTATGTATGAAAGAGCCTGCACAAGCCTTAGTTAGTTATTGAGTTTGTGGATTTTCAGTCGTGTGTAACTACAACATATGTACCGAAATGGGTGAAATGGCTGATATTGGTATCGCAATATTAATAGTATAATAATTAATATTTGTGTGTATCACAATATATGTGTGAAGTCACTCATAAATTGGTGATGAAAGCAATGAACAAATCTGTTCTCATTAGTTAAATTAAAAAAAGGACTCATGTAGAGTCAGCACTATTCATTCATCACTTGATAAGCAATGTGGTTTTTTGTTTGCTGTGACTAAAAAACTGGTAAGAAGACCTTGAGTTCAACTGATTTTTTTTTCTTAAACTCTAAAGGTTTACTATTGCTCCAAGACTTTATCTAAACCTCAAACCAAAATATAGATGAAAAGAATGTGACGATAGCAGAGGGAAACTCATGTGTGGAGATAAAGGGGTCACTGTGTCTGAAGATTTGAGGTTTATACTCCTGTAATCTTATGAAGAATGTAGGCCGCTTACAGGGTAATGAGGGATTTCCCAAATTCTTGGTTTTTTTCACATGGAATTTCCAGCACCGTGATGAAAAGATTCTGCTCATGATTCTTGTGCAAAAATTCCAGTTTTTCCGCCTGACTCTGTGGTTTGTATGTCAGCGATTCAGACAAGCCTGGAGGCAGATGTTTAAACCAGCAATTCATAATTAAAGAATGGAGGTCAGATATGATCTTCTACTGTGTTCTAAGACTGAGTTTACAAATAACTTGAAACCAGAGGTAGTGCTGTCAGATCTAACAAACTTTACACTTAAAGCTGTGTTGAGTTGTAATCTTAATACAGATTCAAAAATTGGAAGAATTCAAAACTTGTCTTTCCTGCTTCAAAGATCCACTGTAAATGATTTTAAATGATTTCAACTTAGAAAGCATGTTTCCTCGCTACCTTAAAAATATAAGGTAACTGCACTACAGTTGAAAAATTAATTCAAAGCATCTTATGAGTAGTGAAAGGGTAAAACCAGCTGAGTTTAATTTCAGTTAAGTCAACTCAGCCGCTTCAATTTATGGTATACATTGTGTTAAATGATTTTACACAATGTATACCATAAATTGCAGTGTTTACAATGTGCTAATTGCATTTCTTCAAATCACAATCTTGATTTGAAATTGATTGTTTCTTCCTTCATTACACATCTTAATTTAGTTATTAGGAGAAAACAAAACACATACAGCTATTATTAATTCAGATTCAAATCACTTTTACTGGCTTTTCATATTGTAGCTGTTTATGTTATTTTGGATTGACAGTAAGTTTGGTCTCCCAACTGTAACCTCAAACATTAAATCAACTGAACTGAACATTATGCACATCTGAAGGTAGGTTTTACTGCAAAATTATTGTATTATGTTACATTTGTTTCAGATGTTTTCTACTAGCAGGCATCACAGATAATGGAGTTTACATGATTTCCTGCCTTATCCTGTTTTTTCACCGTTAGCTGCCTCCTTGTTTGCATGTAAACATGCCTGAAGGATTTCAATTCACATCTAAGTTTAACTTCTCAAACGCTTGTAATGTTTATTATGAGCATCCTTAAATGTTTATTTCACTATTCTTGTTAGGTTCTCAATAAGTGAAGGCATCCAGGTGGATTGCTTACGCAAGGAACCAATGGAGAGTAAAAGTTCAGGACCTTCATGCTCTGGCCTCAATCTGGTCGCACACCCACGGGCAAAAAGCAAAGTCTGGAAGTACTTTGGCTTTGACACAGATGCAGATGGCTGCATATTACACTGGAAACGGATTTACTGTCGCGTATGTATGAGCCAAATCGCGTATTCTGGGAACACCTCCAACCTGTCTTACCACCTTGAAAAGAATCACCCCGTAGAGTTCAGTGAGTTTGTGAAAAGCAACACAGATCAGATGCGTGAGGCGTTCGCCACAGCATTCTCCAGAATAAAGACTGAGCCCACAAGTCTACATGCACAGCAGCAATCCCAAGACATAAACTTGAGGCAGAGCTTAGATTATGAAAATAGACGACACAATGACCTGACAATAGCTATCGTCAACTTCATCTGTGAGGGTTTGTATCCTGCATCTATTGTTGAAGAGCCTACTTTCAAGACCCTAATGAGTACTGTCGACCCTGGATATTCTCCTCCCAGCAAAAGCGACCTTGCAGTTAAAATGGTTCCTCAGATGTATTGCCGTACTCGTGATACGGTCTTTAGTGAGCTTGCTGGGGTTGTGAACTGTGGCGTTACTACAGATCTCTGGCAAAGCCAAACCCAGAATAGAACATACATTTCACTCTCTATGCATTCAGTCAATTACAGTTGTGCAACCGGCTTCTCGATGACCAACAAGTGCCTTAAAACATTTGAAGTACAAGAGGACAACACTGCCGAGAACATCACCAGAGCGATGTATGAAGCCTTTGTTGAGTGGGGTATAACTCACAAAGTCAGCGGCGCCACCACAAATGGCTCGGTGGACATCGTCAAAGCGTGCTCGCTCTTGGAGCTGTCGGTGGAAATGCCTTGCCTCGGGCACACCATCAACCGTGCAATGGACGAAGCCTTCCAGCTGCCACGAGTTGACAGCTTCCTGGGATGTTGCCGCAAGCTTGTCGATCACTTCAGAGAACCGGCGATGTATATGCTGAGAGAAAAACAGAAGCAACATGGCCTCGCTCAGTGCGCACTGATCACAGATCGCGGTCGGACTTGGTTGGCCACGCTGGCAATGCTACAAAGACTGAAAGAGCAACAGGCTGCTGTGACTTCAACATACATGGAGAGTTCCAGCAGCCATCATTTCAGCTCTGATGGCCCTAACTGGGCCTTGTTGGAGGCCTTGATTGAAGTCCTCCAGCCTTTTAAAGTTGTGGCAAACATGATCACTTCTTGCAGGTATCCAACCATTAGCATGGTGAGACCTGTGCTTCATATGCTGTTGAACACCACCCTCAAAGTCAAGGAAGGGGACCTCAAAGAGATCAGCATGACCAAAGAGGTAATCTCCAAGGTCCTGTCAAGCACCTATTCGCAGAATTCACAACTATCTCAAGAGATCTCAGCTTTCCTCAACATTGCTACATTCTTGGATCCTCGGTATAAAAAGCTGCCCTTCCTGTCCACTCAGGAGCGTTCCAAAGTTGAGAGTAACATCATCGAGGAGGCCAAAGCAATCCTGGAGAAGCAGATGTCAGAGCGGTCATGTGACGATTTCTCCCTAGTTTCTGATGAGCCACCTAGCAAAAAGCCAGCACCTCTGAGAGAATCTTCTGCAGGCAGCGCAACCCAAGACAATCCTCTGGCTGCCATATTTTGTCAGTCCGATGCAGACCAGAGCCAGGAGGAGCTGCATGCTCAGGTGGTGGAGGAGCTGAGCAACTACAAGTCACAGAGGGTTCTGGGTCTGAATGAAGACCCTTTGCTTTGGTGGTCGAGTCATGCGCCTTTGTTCCCCACTCTTCCCAAAGTGCTTCAGAAGTACTGGTGTGTTCCTGCCACCAGTGTTCCTTGCCACAGGTTGTTCAGCTCTTCAGGTGCTGTTCTGTGTGGGAAAAGGAACCGCATAGCTCCAGCTCTGGTGGATCAACAGGTCTTCCTGTATGAGAACTCACGGAGCTACTTCGAATCTGAACCCTGTGAGGATGATGTGGACAATCCTTGGGAAGGCCACTGTGCTCTCGGACGGCCACTGGAGTGACTGTGTTGAAAGAACTTTGCTGACTTCATTGCCTGTATGCAGTGTGCTTCATATACCAGACATGCTGAAGCATTAAAAAACAAAATCTGTAGAATGAAAATACAATAGACTCACTCTTTTATTTTTCGTGGTATTTCCATATGGAACAGTTTGGCTTTTAAAAAATCCTGCAATATTTTACAGAAATTTCAAAATGGAAAGAATGTATTTAAGCTGTCAATCAGCTATATGAAGAATTCTTTTCTTTTCTTTTTTATTTTACTGGGTTTTTTTGTTTTTCAAAGTTATTGAATGACTGTGGTTAAAATCACATTTCTTAGTCATTTAGTTTTAACTAAATTCAACAAACAAAACATTCTTTGCAGAAATTGTGTATCCAAAACCAACTGTATTATTCTAATAATAATACTCATATTGGATCAGACTGATGGGATATTCCAAACAAAAAGACTTACAGTCTTTTACATGATAAGATTGTGTGTTGGCTTCACTATCAGAGTGTGCATAACAGGTAAATATCATACACCTCCTTTGTGAGCCCACTTTATACGAGTTTTTTTCTTCATTCAGGCTACATGATTTGTCTTTTTAAGGTTTCTTTAGGATGTATATTGTAAATACATGTCTATATATTGCACTGACAGTGGATAAAATTAAACATGTTGTAAAAGAAGTGTATAAAAGTAAAGATCAGCACTTGCCTGGTTGTTTTATGTCCAGACTTTGCATGCCAGCATTGATTTCCATTTGATATTATAAGCATCCGGCTTTCACAGGCGCAACACGTGATTTCTTCAGGGGCACTTTATTTCACAGGTTTCGTATATTCTTGTTAAATTTCAGGACATTTTTTTCATAATTTCTTAAAAATTCAAAGAAAAAATTAGCCAAAGCTAAGCTTTTATTAAAAGAAAAAAAAATCTCTGTATTCTACATGTCTACATGTTGGGACTTTATATTGTAATAAAAAAATAACCTACAGTAAGAAAAAAATGAAACCACCCAGAAACTCCTTCAAGTTCAGAGGATCAAAACCGATTAAGGAGCTCTGCTTAATTTCTACAGCTTATACCTGCAAATTAAAGTGATATAGTGTGGCTCCTTGGTTTTTATTTAACTGTTCAGGGTTGTTTTTATTGCTACTGATGTGGAATTATGAATTTACCTAATGTATAATTTCCTAGTTGGCTTCAGAAAGTAATCTGACTCCTTCACCTTATGCAAAAAAATTCTACAGCCATGGTTTCATTTTATTATAGATTACTGAGTGTGGATTGGTGAGCAAATTTTTATTGATTTTTTATTTTAATTAAAGTTTTAGCACAAGGAAGCTAACATTCCTGTTGATTGTTACCAGACTCTTTCTCAGACATATGCTCGTCATTTCTAGCTACATACCAGATAAGGATGTCCACGTGTTTGCAGAGTGGACAGATTTTGACCTTTCATCTTTGGAGTTCAACTCTGTCGAGACTTTCACTGCTGTGTGGCAGCATCGTATTTGACAGATGAACTGCTGCAAAAAGTCTTTCATCCTTGTAAAGTTAGCAAGGATCTCTAATGTAACTGCATTTAACTTTAACTGTTATTTACACAGGTAGAAAATTTAATTTCAGCAAAGGCCAAAGACGGAAAGTGAACGATTGGGTAATGTTCTCATGTGGTCCCCTCTCTCCTCCTGCACAGTCCTACCCAAGCAAAATGGAAGGGTTGCCATTGTGACTGGAGGCACCAGAGGAATGGGTTTTGAGACAGCGAGACACCTGGCAAGCCTTGGCATGCATGTTATCATAGGTAGGCTACTGTCCAATCACACTCAGTCAGCAGCTCCCCTTCTGTGTACTTCCCTGCAGTCCATTTCAAAGGGTCAGTCCGTTAAATATCAATCAGTGCTTACCACATGACCCCCTCAGAATCAACTGGGCTTTTTTGTACATTAACCCTTGTATATTTAATAAACTTTTGTTTTCGTAATGTGAATATTTTTAGAGTTACAGACCCTTCCCTTCATCTTAATTTTGTTGTCAATAAATGAAGGAATCTCTGCCAGATCGTGCAGAATCCAGTTTACTTGCAGTCTTTGTTCGTTAGCCAGAATTACGTCAAATAAAGCTCAGGTTGATCTATATTTGACAGTTAATCAGTTTCAGGATTTAGACAGATGCCATGAGTCAGTGCAGTAGGCAGTAGAATTGGTTGAAGAGGATTATCTGCTGGACTTCTTCCCACCAAGCCTCTCTCTGATTTCCATCATCTCCAGCTGGGAATGAGAGAGAAGAGGGAACAGTGGCCGTCAGAAGGATTCACGAAGATGGTGGCGAAGGAAAAGGTAATCGTCTGTCTGTCTCCATCTCTGTGTTTGACCACATTTGTTAGTCGTAGAACAAAAAACTCAGCAGTGGAGCTTTCAAATGAAAAGCTGCTCCTCCAGTGTTTAAAATAGATTCACAGTGGTCCAGACTACTAAATTTTAACATTGATTGCAGTGATACATTTCCATTTAGGTTCACTAGAACTTTTCACTGCACCTTTTGGTGCTTAATAATATTAAGTGTTGTCTTAGGTTTCATACACATGAAATTTATTGTTGAATAAAGGTGCAGGTAGGGGTTTTATTTTGTATAAAAATTATAATCTGGGACCTAAAGTTAGTAATAGGTGTCTTTCTTTGGCTATAGTATAAGCAGTGATATATTTTATTATTATGTGTGAGTCCTAAATACTTCATTTGCTGCTCACTGCTGCAGAAAACCACCTGCTCATCACCTAATTCAAGAGACATAGAGGGAAATGTCATAAAAGATGGCAAATCTTTCAGTTAAGTCTATAACAAAAAGGACTATTTGGACTCTAAGCAGCCGTCATGTTCATTAGAATGTGCATTATGTGGCCTTCTGTCACTTGAAGCTGTACTTACCCTCATTTTAGAGGCCTCTCAATTAGTATGAAGTGGAATGTTACTGCAGCGTAGGAGTTTATTTGATTTAATTAGGTGTTTGAGCAGTTGGCTACGAAAAGCCACAAGCAGTTGCAAAGGACTCATTAGTGACAGGCCTGTGATTGCTAAGAAATAAGGGTTTAGAGCAGGGGTCGGCAACCTTAAACACTGAAAGAGCCATTTGGACCCATTTCCCATGTAAAAGAAAACACTGGGAGGCACAAAACCCCTTTGAAATCTAAAATTACGATAACACTGCACATATCGTTTTTACCTTTATGCTATGTATAAATACAAAAAAATAGTGTGTTGCATTTATGAAATCAATGAACTGCTACAGAGAAAACAAAATTTTATTTCTGCAACAACATTTTTAACTCCAAAAAAAAAAAACGCTGGGTTGAAGGTTACCTTTAAATAAAATACTAAATATGTATTTGAATCCTCCTTGTATTTATGAAATGAAAAGCCGATCTTAAATTATCCACCTGCAGCAAAGTAAAAATGCCGTCTGGTTGTCCTGCTGACTGCAGCTGGGACCGCTGACCAGACTCCTGACTGCCTATGAGCGCCTTGGGACGGGAGGAGCTCACGGCAGCACCGCTGCTCGCTGAGGACAGTAACTGCAGAACGATACGTGTTTTCACGTCAGAGTCTCCAAAACACCAGAAAAATCTCCAATTACATCAGAAACAGTCACTAAATTTGTTGCTAGTCGCTTTAGCCAACCAAAAAAACAAGAAGATTTAGAAAGTTGCCAGATTTAGCGAGAACGTCATCAAGGTGGCAACACTGCACATGCTGGCGAGTGTCGCACATCGACGGCTATGACGCATATTTTGAGCAAGTTCACAAAAATCTTCAAATTTAGAATCACATTTTAAAAACCAACAAGCTAAAATAAAATACATTTAAATTAAAGTACTCACTATTTATTTTCCAAAGCCAAAAGGAGCCGCAGCAGAGGTACGAAAGAGCCGCATGCGGCTCCGGAGACACGGGTTGGCGACCCGTGGTTTAGAGGGAATGCTTTCTACTTCCAGAGTTGTGCAAAGATGTGATCCCAGAGGCCCCAACTCTGAAATAATACTCCTAGAATTTTACCATTAAAGGCTCCCTTGTGTAGCTTAATTTTCCCACATGGTTTATCATGCATTTCTAATTTTATGCCTTTTATATCTCTTAGCTATCTGGCATCAGAATTTTTAAAAAAGAAAGAAAGAAAAAGAAAGGCCCCATACTGTGACCAAAATGGTCTGGTTGCTAACTTTTGACCTCTGACATTGTGGTTGAGGTAGGAGGCCACACATCCATCATCTAAGGTCAGGTTGATTAAATCTCAAAAATCCCACAATTGTTGGTATTTATGTCTATATTGTCTCATAGATAACAAAGAAAAGCAGAGTTCTTGCTGAAGGGCAACACAGCAGTGCAGCTCAACCAATACATAGCGTTAGTTATTTCAGGCAATGAACGCTTGTGTTGTCCTGCTGTGTATGGAAGTAATCTGATGACAACACAGAAGAGGCAGTGTTTTCAGTGTAGACTTTCTGTGTCTATTTATTTAGTAAAACCCATGCAGTGCAGGCTCCCGTTTTATCATGCATTATTCATTAAATGCCTATTAAGTATTAGCTAGTCCCTACTCGGAGTCATGTGGGGTGCCGTGAGGAAAAAAAAGTAGTACAAAAATAGCTGACAGCGTATTTTTGCTGCAAAACTAATCAAGACTTGTTCCACCTCAATTCACCAGGTTTTTAAAAAGGTTTACGACTGACAGTCTCATATTTTTCCATTCATTTTTCTCTGCATACGTATGCTAGTAAGTAAAACGTGTCAAATCTGGGATCATAGTCATTAGTTTTTGAGTTAAGAATTAGAAATAATGACACAAATAACTCAAGAACAAGTAAAAACGAGGAGCTAGAAACACAAGTGTAATGTCCTGCTCCTTTCTCATCTCCACATAGCATGAAGTGATTGTAAAATGTCTAATTGTGGATTTTCAGAGGATAGAGATTGCATATTATTGGCACCAGCAGTTAGTGTTTCCCACCTCAGAAACATCATTTGCCTTAAGAGAAAGATTCAGCTGGTTGACTGAAGACACAAATTCTAAAAACATCGTCATTCTTTGTAATACCAATAAGAAAGCTGGCTAAAAGTAGTGCTTCTTTTTCTTACAGCTGAGTTTGTCTTTGTGGATCTGACTTCACTAAAATCAGTTCGGCAGTTTGTTCAGACCTTCAAAGCCAGAGGTCTTCCCCTCCATGTCCTGGTCAACAATGGTAGGTTGCACCGATTGTCACCTTAAATACACAAAAGGTCACACTAGTGTTACATTTCGAATTCTTACGCGATAAAACGGTTTCTCCTTTTCTGCTTGTAGCTGGGACCATGTTGGTTCCTGAAAGACAGACCGAGGACGGCTTTGAGTTCCACTTTTGCCTCAACTATCTCGGCCACTTCTTGTTGACCAACCTGCTGCTGGACGTGCTGAAGAGATCAGGGAAACCGGGCTGCTGCTCCAGAATCATCAACATGTCCTCTGCCACTCACTACGCAGGAGTTATAGACATGGAGGACTTAAATAGGAGGTGAGATGATCAATCAGTGAAGGTGTTTGATGACTGTGAGTTTGCAGGCAGAGCGAGTGAAATTTCTATAATGCTGTGCACCCCAGGAGAGAAGTTTAGCAAGAAGTCAGAATAAAATATGTAAACATTTTATGCAATTTCACAATACCTCTTGTTGTACTGCTGTGTGCTTGAAATAATATGAGCACAACACAGAGGAGGCAGTGTTTTCAGTTTAGACTTTCTGTGTCAAAAGAATCTGCACAGTGCATGCAAAGTATCAGTGACTGCCCAATGTTTCACAATGAAAAATACATTTATACTCCTGTTGTCGGCTGTTAAGCTAGCATAAGAAACTGTTAATCCCTCTTCAACTGTCCCTATAACAATGGCAAAAAAAAGCCCAAAACAAGTCTTAAAAAGAAAAAAAAAAACAAATAAATATAATACATAAGAAAGATAAATACATTAAAGACTTCCACTGGTGAAAATACAATTTTTTTCTTTACATGTTCATATGGTGTTTTTTTTTTGTATGCTGGAAGAGAACATTGCAAACTTGAAACTTCAGTGTTTAGCTTTATAGTATTTGAACAGAGTTGTGGGTAAGCTGGTGTGCTCAAGCTGCAGCAACATTGTAGTCACATACGAGCCATTTAAAGGCAGGAAGGGAAAGAATTTATAGAAGAAAAGCTTTAAATATTTCACTTTTAATATGCAGAGAAGAATTGTAAGGTGTGGAATCACCAACTGGAGCGAAACTTTAACTTAAGTATATTAATATATATTATATACAGTGTATTACACTGTTTTTTGTTGTGTTTTTTTTTTACTGGTGTTTTATTAGTTTTATTGCTGTGTCTAATGTTTTGTGTATTATAATGCTTTGCAAAGCACTTTGTAACCCAAGTTTTGAAAGGTGCTGTAGAAATAAAATGTATTCTTCTTCTTCTTCTCAAGCTCAGTAAGCATGTAGGGTGTGAAGTCAGTCACCAAATTAGGTTTAGTAATGTATGTTTTTAAAAAGAAAGTAAGTAAAATTAGGACATAAAATAAGTTTTAAAAAAATGTAAAGCTAGAAAGTGAAATAAGGACAATGCTGAAGTAAAGTAAGTGTAGTAAATTAAGTGCAGTAAGTAGGTAAAGTGTCTCTTTCGGTTCCTTTTTGTACTTGGTTTGATTGACTTCAGCCTTAATTAATTTAGGTTTTATACTGTCTGATTGGAAGAAATCTGCTCTGCTGTAGAATGAATGGCAGTCACCAAAGTGTTCATTTCTGATCAGTAAAACATTGTATCTGTATGCATTTGCCAGATTTTGCAGCATCTGTTTGGATGTTTAACAGCATTTTTTTTTTGGCTGCCACTCATCAGAGCGACAGTGAAGTTCAATCGAACTTAACGAAATCCTCGTCCTCCTCATCCTCAGGAACTGCTACAGCTCCCATGGTGCTTACTCCCAAAGCAAGCTGGCTCTGGTCCTCTTCACCTACTACCTGCAGGAGCAGCTGATGGCCGGCGGCTTTTCCGTGACTACGAACGCTGTGGACCCCGGGATGGTGGACACGGCACTGTACAATAACCTGTGGAGCCTCGCGCAGGCGCTCAAGAAACCCGTGGCAAAGATACTGTTCCGGGTACATGTTAACTTGTCCTGGCTGCATACATTTGTCTGTGTCTGAGCTGAGCAGCGTGTCCAAAAACTGTAGTTTTCTTCCCAAGCTCTTATTTTTTAGGAATTGATGTATGACATACTTGAGCTCCGTAGCCGAAAAAAAACATTTGTTTGACATAACTGTTACATTGAAAGCCTTGTAGAAAAGTTTCAATACACAATTATGATTTTTTGACGCCCAGTGACTCCACCAGTAACCTGCTTTGTTGAATTACAGCATGTACAGGCACAACCTTGACCACAACCTGCTTTTTTTTTTTTTTTTCACGTGTCCTCCTCAGACTCCAGCAGAGGGAGCATCCATATCCATCTATGCTGCAGCTGCTTCTGAGATGGAAGGACTAGGAGGCTGCTATCTGTACAACGGTGTGAAGAGGCAGTCCTCCGACCTTTCCTACGACCCTGAACTGCAGGTGCAAATGTGGAAAAAGAGCTGTGAGCTCGTTGGCCTTCAGAAGGCCTGATTCGTTTTGCTGTGACCATCACACTGGTTAGTTCCACTGGATGTTATCTGGCACTGACAAATGATACGGAGCCACTGCCTCACTTAATTCCGTTCCAAAATCCAAATATCTAGTGTTAAAAAGTATCCACAGATTTACAGACTAAATTTGTCTCCCAAGCTCAGCAGCTCACGTACATTTTTGCTTGTGAAAAACCCAAATACATTAGAAAAACAGTGTTCTGGACACCGTCGGATGTCCAATAATAGTAAGCTAGGCTAATTAAAGTAGGCTCCATAGAAATGTTGTGTGTATATATATATATGCTTATACACACACACATATATATCTACATGTGTGTGTGTATGTATATATATATATATATATATATATATATATACACATATATATGAAATATGAAATGATTGTAAATTGTATCACCTCTCAGTAACTGTGGTATTTTTTTTTTATTTCAGCAGTGAAGTACATCCTCTTCTGAACAGTAAAAAACACTTTGCAAATTGGATATGCAGGCCCCAAGGTAGAAACGAAACTCAATGCAACTAAGTTGAGCACAACGGTAGCTTCCTATTAGTTCAACTGCATCCACTTTGAAAAGAACTGGCAACAAGAAATGATAAATGATACTTACACAGTGCCTTTCTACCTTCGTGGTACACAAAGCACTTTTCAATTCAAAACTGCAAAATTCAACTTGTGGTTGAATGGTGAATGTTGGGAATACATTCTTTGGTCAGATGAGACCAAGATACATTTGTTAGGCTCAGATGGTGTTCATCTTGTTTGGCATGAACCTGGCCATAACCACCACAGCAAATGCATAGTCCCGACAGTGAAGCACAAAGGTGGAAATGTGATTACACGGGCCTGAAAAGGGTGCTGACAAAAACTGCAGAAACGGCGAAAGCACAAAAATAAAAAGCTATGACCTGGTGAAGTACGTCACCTGATGTAAATCGAACAGAAAACCTTTGGAGAATTTAAAAAAGAAAGGCAGAGCAACAAGTGCAGCTGGAAAAAATAGACTCAGAAAAATGACAAAATATCTACCCAGAAATTTAGTATGTTGAGGAGGATTGACTTTTGTCTAAAATAGAAGTGAATATATGAAGTACTGGACAAAATAAAGGATCTGAATCCTAGTAAAGTAAGGAGTAGCGGCTTAGTTTGCATTGAGTTCCCATATGAGGCCTGTAGGTCACTTAGTACTCAATGTGAGGCTTTTTTCTAAATCTGAAACACACAGGAGAAGAAAAGAGTCCAACACAAAAGAAATGTAATCTCTGTAGCAATTTCAATCATTTTTGTGCCTTATCTCTCATATGTGAACCAGCTAGGTATTGTTTTATTTTGTCTAATGATATTTTGCTCGCTAAACCCCTAACCATAGACTGTCCATAAAAGAAGGATGTAGCCTCGGAACTGCCTTAAACCTGGATTATTTCTGACAGCCATCAGGGGGCGACTCGTCAGGGGGCAAGAAGTCTGATTGTATAAAAGTCCCAATGAGTTTATGGTCTCAATTGCACATTTCAGGAATTTCTGAATACAGCATGATGTTCACTTTCTAAATGATGGTTCCAGTAAAATAGTTACTAAAGCAGTATGCTTTTAAGATAAGATAAGATATGCCTTTATTTATCTCACAGTGGAGAAATTCACATTGTTGTTAGCAGCATTACACATAGAGATACACACATACGAGACAGAAAAATGTACATATAAATATAAGAAATAGTGCAAACAAAAGAGGATAGTGCAAACAGAATATGAGAATGGGCTTCTGAATGGGGATACATAGAAAAAATATATGTATTATATATATATATTTATATATAAAAGATAGGGAATAATAAATATATAATAATAGTAATAATAATGACAACAACAACAATAATAATAATAATCATCATCATCATCATCATAATAATAATAATAATAATAAGCAGTGAAAATGCACTTTTGATGCTTTAGGGCGGGGCTACCTACAGAGCACATCCTCTGCTCACTTGTTGCGTCCAGTTTTAAAAGACCAAAATCCAAATTCAAAGCTCACATAATGGTGGCTACGTTCACCTTTCTATACAGTCTGTGTAGATACAAAAGGTAGACTGATCTATTGTCTGAGCTGTTGTCCGTCATTACCAGGGGTCGGCAACCCACAACTCCAGAGCCACATGTGGCTCTTTCATACCTCTGCTGCGGCTCCTTGTGGCTTCTGAAAATAAATACTGAGCATTTAATTTAAAAGTATTCTATTTTAGTTTGTTAGTTTTTAAAATGTAATTCTAAATTTGAAGATTATGGTGATCTTATAATATTAAAATAAAACACGTTTAATTTTTTGTCGCTCAAATTATGCGTCACAACCCCTGATGTGCGACACCCACCGGCATGCGCAGTGTTGCCAACTTGATGACTTTTTCCCTAAATCTGGCAACTTTCCAAATCCTGCAGTTTGGCAAATTCCAGTCTGGCTTTTAAATGATTTGTTTTCAACAATGGTGTCCTCCTTGGTCGTCTCCCATGAAGTCCACTTTGGCTCAAACAACAACGGATGGTGTGATCTGACACTGATGTACCTTGACCTTGGAGTTCACTGTTAATGTCTTTAGAAGTTGTTCTGGGCTCTTTTGTTACCATTCATATTATCTGTCTCTTCGATTTGTCATTAATTTTCCTCCTGCGGCCACGTCCAGGGATATTGGCTACAGTCCCATGGATCTTAAATTTCTGAATAATCTGTGCAACTGTAGTCACAGGAACATCAAGCTGCTTGGAGATGGTCTTATAGCCTTTACCTTTGACATGCTTGTCTATAATTTTCTTTTTAATCTCCTGAGACAACTCTCTCCATCACTTCCTCTGGTCCATGTTTAGTGTGGTACACACCATGTCACCAAACAGCACAGTGACGACTTGTAACCTTATAAGTAGGCCGACTGACTGATTACAAGTTTGTAGACACCTGTGATGCTAATTAGAGGACACACCTTGATTCAAGTTTTTTCTGTGACCGTTGTAAGTTTTTCTTTCATTAACCGAGGGGTACCAACAATTTTGTCCATGTGTGTATATGATTTCCTGTTTCTGTGCCAAGACACTAACCCAGAATTTTATGTCTATCATTTCAAATGTGTTTGTTAATCACAATCTGATCACACGAGAAACCTCAAAGCCTTAGCAGTGTTTATTTATGCCTCCAAATGACTATTGATTATGCACTGAGATAAAGTATATTGTTAAATTACATGATTTAAGTATTGATTGTTTTATCTCCATATCTTAAATATTATGTGTCAGTATGTAAAATGTCAGGAGCGTACGTTGTGATTAAATCAGAGAAAAATTCCAATGATTCTGCACTGGGACTGATTGCTTTCGTGTTTGTAAAGTTTTTAATATGTTGGAAAGTGTTAATTCGATTTCTGTGAGAAAAAAAAGGGCAATACTGACAATTTAGCAACTTACTTTAAAAGCTACTTATTTTATGACTAATTGCCAGTGAAGAACCTTGTTAAATCCACTGCCAGAGGCATCATGATGGGCTTGTAGGTTTGTAATTCCCCACAAAATAGATTTATTTTCTGTTTTAATAAGACAACATACAACGTATTGCATTAAATGGCTTCAAGCATTAATACTATGTTCAGATATATTGACATCACGTGAGACAAAATCACTGTAACTTTCATGAGTAACAATAGTTGTTTTAGTTTTAGGGCAGTAGCAGGAAGTGTAGCTGTTCTGTAATTTCACTAACTTTACATACATGTAGTTGCAGTGTGTGGCCGCTAGAAGGCAGAAATGTTCTAACTATGATCCATCAGCTGCAGCTTCACATAAATGGAGGATTTTATTAAGAGGAAGTAAAACATGATCACATTGAAGTGAAGCGAGTGTATCGCAATTACCACACTATATATGCTACTGGATCAGTTCTAGGTTCTACTGGAGTGGGGAACAGATACAAAAGAAGCCCAAAAACCAGATCATTGGTATTTGAAACACTGTCATATTTAACAAACATGGAACACAATATTAACAACAAAGCATAACATAAGACATATCCATTCAAATAAACTCAATTTCAGTTCACTTCAAATCATGTATCAGTTCAGTTCAACCCAGATCAAATCAAGTATCAGTTCAATTCAAATCAAATCATGCATCAGTTCAGTTTAATTCAAATGAAATCAATATGCGTACTTGTCCATACTTGCATTCTTGCAGACTTGTGAAACATCATCAGTCGGGGACCAAGTACTGTCCCAATTCAAAGTAAGCATCTGACCAAGTACTGTCTGGAAATGCCGGGATGTGTTCTTGCTCCGCCCACATTATCGAGTCTGCATCAGACCGGACTTGTGTGGACTTCAGAGAACCAAGTATCCCAGAATGTATTTCGCGCCAACCAGCGACAAAAGCCGAGGAGAAAACTTGCAATGGTAACACAAGCTTTTTTTGTAACTACGATTGTTATTGTGACACCAAATGTAGTTTTAAGATTATTTTGGGCTAAAGAGTAGTGGTATAAACATCAAATATATGTTCATTTTATCAAGATAAAGCCTGCTCAAAATTTTACTCCCAACGATTTCAAAGATGTGAGCGTCCTGGTTTGACAGCTCACAGTAGCCGCCGAGAGCAGCCTGATGTCGGCAAGACTTTCTGAAATTTGCTGCTGGCTCTGAAGGTTCCGTAGCGGTTTAACAGGGATATACGTAGTTTAGCGGTCACAACTTGTCCTTACAGTGTAATTTGTTTATTGCTCCCAATCTATTTAAAAGAAGTTAAAGTTAATGTTGGACATATATATTTTTATTTACTGTTGTACTTGATCACTGCCTTGGTACGTTGGAATTATTTTCTTGCTTTCATTTCCTGTAGTACAACCTTGTTTGATTCTAATGACGGTTACTGTGCATTACAAATAACGTTTAAATAATGTTTTACTGGAGGGCCAGCTGGATAACCATCCTCCCTGACTGCTGGGAGACTCCACAGAACATGAGCAGCTCCATCCTGGACCTTCTAACGGAGCATCTTCAGCAGAAGAATGCTGTTTCCAGCTCCACTGAAGAACATCAGGAGGACAGGCACAACATTTTTAATCTGTGATGTTTTGTAAGTGACTTTTGTCCTGTTATAAAATGAAATCTTATAAAAATTACCTTCCCATACGCTGTGAGAACCCTACTGGGCTGGGTCATCTATGGTCCCTTGAGAGGAGACAACAACATCAGGGATGAAAATGGCTGCCCTGCTGCTGTTGTCAATCGCATATTGCGAACCTGGCAGAGTTGTTAAACAGTGCAATCAGGACTTCACTGAAAGAACCAGTAAG